AGTCAAGATGCTCATCTCTCCCCTCATCCTGGGACCCCTGTGAACACCACCACAGAGCTGCTATAAGGATGGACCTGGTTTTTTATCTCTTTCAGCTGCTGGGAGTTATTTTTCCATCCCACTGCTTTGTGACTGACACAGGGTCTGAGCCCAGATTGGTTTGGGTTTGGACCTTAAAGCCCATCCAGTTCCATCCCTATGAAATATTCCCTATGAATATTCTCCTTCCACCACCCCAGAGTGCTCCCAGCCCTGTCCAGTGGGGTGCATGGGGTCCGTGTGTCCCTCCTGACCTTGCTGTGCTCCCCTCAGGTTTGACCTGCAGCTGGCCCAGGCCCTGGGGCAGTCTGCCTTCGAGAAGAGCCTCCGTGAGAAGCTGTCCCAGGAGAACACCAGCATCCGCTGGGAGATGGGCAAACTGCAGCAGAGCCTGGAGGTAAGAGGAGACCCCACTTTGCTGTCTTGGAGCCAGTTCTGGGAGCAGCACTGATTACGTTTGCAATTAGAGCAGAGGCAATCAGGAAACTTGATTCCAATTTCTCCCAGCACAGCTCAGTGTGTTTAAATCTCCTTCTAGAAGGGATGTTGCAATGTATGAGTGATCCCCATCCCATAACTCAGCTCATCAGGGCCCCAATTTTCACTGGAGTCACTTGTGCTCTTCCTCGCATGCCTACCCTCAGTCCCACCTTGGGGATGGTGCTGTCTGTGCCCCAATAGATGGTGCTGCACCAAATGCCACCGTGGTGACACTGGTACAGCTGCTGGGGTGGGGAGAACCCCCAGGGCTGCTGCCAGCATCCCCCACCATCATTTTTTGGGGATGATTTGCAGAAAATAGCCTTTCCTCAAAGCCATGAGGTTGGTGGGTGCAAACACGAATTCCAGAGCTGCAGGGGCAGCCTTTGGGCATGTCTGGGTGTGCTTCAAACAGCCCATCCTGTCCCCAGAGTCCTGCATGTCCCTGGCACTGCAGGGACATCCCAGGGCAGTGGGAAGGTGAGGTCAGGATCAAGAGGGAAAGGTGGGCATGGGGGTCTCCGTGGGCTGCCCAACCCTGCTGCTGCTCCAGGCATTTGGGATGATGTTTTTGGGAATGCTGTGGGTTCTGAGAGTGGGGTGTGAGTGTCCAGGCTCTGACCATGCTCTGCCCAGCACAAGGAGGCCGAGGTGGCCAGGCTGGAGCAGCAGGTGGCCGTGCTGGCCGGCCGAGTGCAGGAGCTCAGTGCCCCCGGGGCCATGGACACGGTGCCTGGGCTCAAGAAGAAGCTCTGGGACCTGGAGGGCAGCTCTGCTGAGCAGAAGAAGGAGTTGGAGAAGCAAACAGCTGCTGTGGAGCACCTGGAGCAGGTAACGTGGGGCTGGGGGAACCAGGGGGGTCTGTCTCTGCTGGGACAGCCCAACACCATCCTCATCCTCTTGGGGCTGTGCATCATCTCTGGGGGTTTCAGCTCCATGAGAGGCTGGAGCTGGAGATGGAGAGGATGAAGCAGATCCACCAGAAGGAGCTGGAGGACAAGGACGAGGAGCTGGAGGACACGCAGAAGTCCTGCCAGAAGAGGGTAGGTTTGATGCTGTGTGGGTTTGATGCTTGGTGCTCCCCAAAGCTCCCCATGTCCCCAGGAACCTTTCCAGAGGTCTGTGTTCCTGCTTTCCCACCATCACCTCAGTGTGAGCCCCAGTCACAGTTTTGGGGTGCAGATCAGGCTTTGGGTCAGGGCTGAGCCCCAGTCACAGTTTTGGGGTGCAGATCAAGCTCTGAGTCAGGGCTGAGCCCCAGTCACAGCTTTGGGGTGCAGATCAGGCTTTGGGTCAGGGCTGAGCCCCAGTCACAGTTTTGGGGTGCAGATCAAGCTTTGGGTCAGGGCTGTTGGAGGACAATGTGTGGAGGGGCTGTTGGGGACAATGTGTGAGAGCCACACGTGATGCAGCACATGGACCCACTGCTCCCAGTAACCCCAGAGTCACACCAAGGGTACCAACTCCTGAGTTTGATGTTTTTGGGGATGATTTGCAGAAAACTGCCTTTCCTCAAAGCCATGAGGTCGGTGGGTGTAAACACGAATTCCAGAGCTGCAGGGACAGACTTTGGGCATGTCTGGGTGTGCTTCAAACAGCCCATCCTGTCCCCAATGTCCTGCATGTCCCTGGCACTGCTGGGACAGGAGGTGCTCCAGGGGACGTAGCCCATTCCTGGTCCCCAGCGCTGCCTTGGTGCCCTCCCTCTCTTGGGCAATGCCAAACCCCCCCTTGGCAGTGTCTGTGCCCTGCTGGCACCCTGAGGGGTGGCTGGGCACTGAGCAGGGCTGGGTTTGTCCCACACAGCTGCGGCAGCTGGAGATGCAGCTGGAGCAGGAGCACGAGCAGAGGCAGATGGTGCTGCACGAGAAGCATGACCTGGAAGGGCTCATTGGCACCTTGTGTGAGCAGGTAAGGGGGCAGTGCCCACCCAGGGGCTGCTCTGTGGGCCGTGCCCTGTGTGACCGTGTTCACAGGGGTTCTTGGAATGGGGGAAGAGATGAGGATCTGACTCCATGTTTCAGAAGGTTTGATTTATTATTTTATTATATATATTTCATTAAAACTATACTAAAAGAATAGAAGGAAGGATTTCATCAGAAGGCTAGCTAAGAATAGAATAGGAAAGAATGATAACAAAGGTTTGTGGCTTGGCTCTCTGTCTGAGCCAGCTGACTGTGATTGGTCATTAATTAAAAACAACCACGTGGGCCAATCACAGATGCACCTGTTGCATTTCACAGCAGCAGATAATCAATGTTTGCATTTTGTTCCTGAGGCGTCTCAGCTTCTCAGGAGGAAAAACCCTAAGGAAAGGAATTTTCATAAAAGATGCCTGTGACAGAGGGGCTCAGGAGGAGACACCCCTTCCCCTCCAGGACAGCCCCAGGTGTTGCCCTGGCAGCCCCCAGCCCCCAAGGGCACTCCTGGTGTAAGGGAAAGGGAGATGGGGCCATGCAGCTGGGATTGCTGTGAGACACAACCACAATTTGGCAGCAGCTAAATCAAATCCTGTCACTTAAAAATCCTGGGCTGCGCTGGTGGGAGGGGGCAGCTGGTTCCAGCCATGGCACCAAATTTATCCCCTGTGGTCATTGCTTCCCCTGAACAAGAGGAAAATGATGTGAGCAGTGTCCAGGATCCAGCTGGAGGGATGGCAGAGCAGTAGTGGTGCTGCTGCAAACACCCTGTGGTTAGCAGAGGACAGTTCATTAAAAAATGGGAAGAAAACAGCTGACCCAGAAAACTAATTAAGGAAATGGAGATGCCAATGATTTCTTGTTCCAGCAAATTCCAGCCAGCTCTAAACCAGGCCACAAGGTCAAATCCACACAGTGGATTTCAGCCAGTGAACAGAAAACAGGAGAAGGAAAGGGGTTTGAAAGGAGAGCCGTGGCAAACAACCTAAATGGAAAATGCTCTTACACCTCAGTGATGCTGAAACCGAGCACTGAAACCATGTCCCTGTTTATTTGGTCCCTGTTTATTTATTTATTTCTAATTCCTTTATCCCTGTAACCATGGTTGCTCTCTCCCTCTCTCTGGGGAGGGGAGCACAGAAGATGGGTTTTTTAAAGTATTCCTTGTGGCTGTGTGGCCAGGCTGTCCTTCTGGACACAGGGGGGAATGTCACTCGTGGGGACCAGGGGTGCGCAAATGTTTTCAGAGGAGCATCTCTTTGATGGGGGAAAATATGGAACATCCTGGAGGTGTTCACTTTGGTGTAATTGACAAAAATACCCCTAAATTGAGGGGGGAACACCTTGAGGTGTGGCAGAAGGTGCTGATGGAGGTTCCAGGGGTTGAGCAGGGCTCAGACATCTCCTCTCCCCATCCCAGATCGGCCACCGCGACTTCGACGTGGAGAAGCGGCTGCGGCGGGACCTGCGGAGGAGCCGGGCGCTCCTGGCCGATGCTCAGCTGCTGCTGGCGGCCCCAGCCGGGCCCGGGGGCAGCGCTCCGGAGCTGGAACACCTGCGCAAGCAGGTAGGGAGGGAGGGAAGCCGCTGGGAGCATCCCCCGCTGCCCCGCTTAACTGAGCGGTGACACACCGCAGAGTCTCCTTGGAAAAGCAGTGCTTACCCTGTAATTAAGGCAATGCTGGTGAAGTGTTTTTTCCCTTTTTTCCCTTTTTTTTCCTGTTAATTACCTTCTGTTTGGCGCGTTTCTGCGCGTCTCCTACGGCCGGGCTGGGGCGGCGTTGCCATAGGGATGCTGGAAGCGGGAGAGGGATGGGGGGGATTTGAGCTGGGGAGCAGCTCCAGCTCTGTGACAGCTCTGTGCCACCACACTGGGGACATCCCCCACCCCAGGGTGAGCTCTGAGTCCCCTGACATGGATAGGGGCAGCACGGGGCTGTCCATCCCCTTGTGGGCCGTGTATTACCAAGTGCCAAGCAAGGGCTCAGCTAAAGATGCTGGCCCTCTGAAACCACTCAGAAATTAATCTGTTCTGCACATTTCACCTGGAAACGTACGAATCTGGAGGCACGAGCAACTCCAGCAACATCCAAGTGTAATTGGGAGGGTCATTGTGCATAAATAACAGCTGTGAGCAGCAGCTGCTCCCTTCCACCTGTGCTGGGGGAGAAGGGGAAGGTGATCTGATGGAGCTAGGGGTGTGTCCATGCCCTTTCCTGGATGTCCAGGGCAGGAGATGGCTGTGGCTGGGACAAGTCACAGTGGGAATGGCCATTTTTTGCACTCTGGTGTTGTTAAATATTATTGACCCAGTGCTGTAGTGCTGCGCTTCATTAATCCCTTAATGTTTCCCAAATCCCACTTTGGGGTTGGAGAGGTTGCACTGCCCCTGTATTTTCCCAGTCCCTGGTGGGAAGGAAATGTGGCAGGGCCCTACCTCAGGTCTCTTCTATGTGCTGATCTGAGGGACCTACATTGATGCTGAGGTGTTTCCTCTGCTCATCCCACTGTGTCCAGCCCCATCTCCCTGGGGAATAATGCCCAGCTCACCTGGGGAAGTAAATCTTTACTCCAGGGAGTAAAGTCATAGAAAGAGCAGCTGAGGGAGCTGGAAAGGGGCTCAGCCTGGGGAAAAGAAGGCTCAGGTGGGACCTTGTGGCTCTGCACAACTCCCTGACAGGAGGGGACAGCCAGGGGTGTCAGGTTCTGCTCCAAGCGAACAGGGACAGGAGGAGAGGAAACTGCATCAAACTGTGCCAGGTTGGAAATCAGGAGGAATTTCCTCATGGAAAGGGTGCTCAGGGCTTGGCAGGGGCTGCCCAGGGAGGTTTGGAGCCCCCATCCCTGAAGGTGTCCAAGGAATTCCTGAACGTGACACTGAGTGCTCTGAGCTGGTGACAAGGTGGGGATCAGGCACAGGCTGGATTTGATGACTTTGGAAGTCTTTCCCAGCATTTATAACTGAGATTTTGGGATTCTTGCCCTCTGCACACCCCAGTCCTCACAGCAAGGCAGGAGGTCGCTCTCTGTCCCTGTGGTTCCTGTGCTCATCTCCCCTGTGTTTGGAGAAGAGCAAGCAGCCTGGATTTTGGGAATGTGGAGTTTTTCCTGTGTCACCTACGCTGAGGCTCTGCCTGTGCTTAAAATGCCACATGATTATCCTGTCCTTTAAGCTGAAACAATTTCTAATGGCATTCATGACGACTTTCTCAAAAGCCAATGCATCCTACCAGCAGCCCACAGACCTGCACCAGAAGAAAAACTTTGCTAAAATGCTACATTTCCGTTAATCAAAATCCATATGGCTGGGAGTGCAGCATTGTTTCTTAATAAGGCTGAGGCATCCATTTTATGCAGGTATTTAACAGATGGTGTTCACAGCAAACTAATGTTGTTCCACACTTCATACATTATGCATTTTTTTGGGGGGGAATTTCAATTTATTCTTCCCAAGTGGGAAAATTCCATTACACCAAGTGAATTGGAAGCTGATGCTTAATGAGGGGTCCTGGAGATGATTTTTCTCTCTGGTGGAATTATCAGGATTTTGGTGGGAATTGTGGCAGGGTTGAGGCCAGTCCATGAGTGGGGATGCAGGTGGGAAAGGCCATGAAACCAGGAGCTGATCTGAGTGGCATCTTCAACTCATCCCAGCAAAGTACAGGGACTTTTTTTACAGCTGATGGAAGAAAGTTCTTCCTTTTCTAGTGAGAGGTCTCAATCTGCCCAAAAACTGGAGGGAAGCCAGCTGAGGATTGCTCCGGTGATAGTATCCCATTATTCCCCCCACTTTTTTTTTTTTTTTTTTTTTTTTTTTTTTTGAGGGAGAGAGATAAAAAAGAAAGTAAAAAAAAAATAAAATTCTTAAACTCTCACCATGGTGTGCAGCTTTTCCCGTTGCTCCCTGAAACTCCGCAGTGAAACCAGGAGCACAGGAAATGAGCAGCGAGCAGAGGGGTTTATTTTTCCTTTTTCGTAGAGAAAAAGCAAAAGAAACCCCAACGAGCAGGGGAAGGAACTGGATGTTCAGGTACAGCCTACGACAACTCCTCCGCCCAGGCGAGGGGGGAGTTTTGGGGATGACGCTGCAGCTTCCAGATGTTTGCAGCCCATTGAAGATCGCGTGTGATCCTAATGGCTGAGCTGTAAAACCCGAGAGCGAATTAGCGCTTATAAATGGGATCTTCCACGTGTATTTGCAAATGCAATTTACGCCACGTGAAAAGCCCATTTGCAAACCCCCGAATCATGAATTGCTCTAATCAGGAATTACGTGTAATTCACATAATTTTGCAAATTAATGATCCCAGCTTTGCCTGGCCATGGGAAAGGGAGGATGTGCCATGGAGGCTGCTGGACTCATTAGGACAGGCATTGGGGTTGGGATCTGAGCTGGGAGTGCCAAGGAAGCTTTGCTTGCCCTGTAAACCAGGAGCAGACAAGCTGAGGAGCAGCAGAGGTTTAAAACGTGGAGATTTCTGTGTTTTTTAGCAGGGAAAAATGCCCTGACACGAAATAAAACTACATGGACCTCCAAGGTAAAAAAGAGGGCAGTTTAATTTCTGACTCCGACATTTATTGATTTCCAAAAGTGACAGTGGATTCGAGGGTGACAGTGCCCACTTCTCCAATGACATTGGACACACCACCATTCCATCAAATTTCTTCTCCTCCATAAAAGAATGTAAAAATAAGTTATTTACATAAAGTGCATGACAAAGTGAATTATAAGACTATAAACATCAGAAGGTTTAGAAGAACTTAAAAAATAGAGTGACACCCTGTGAAAGTGGAAATTAGCAGGGGGCCAGCACCATCAGCATGTGGTTTCTCCTTTAATGATGATCCCCTGCACCTTTCCCCAGTTGGAAGAAAGTGAAGCCAAGTGTGCAGAGGCCCAGAGATGCCAGCAGACAGCAGCCCAGGAGCTGGAGAACCTGCACACGGAGCTGGAGACCCTCAGCAGAAGCAAGACCCTGGTGGGTTCCATGGCAGGGCAGGTGGGAGGGCACAGTCCCACCTTGGGAGGTTTGGCAGCAATCAGCAGCTGCTTTGCTAAATCAGAAGTGTTTAATAAATCACCTTGGAGTGTTAATCACACCTCTGAGGATATTTATAAAACATCCCAGTGAATTTACTGAGTCTCCAAGGATATTCCTCACTAAATCACCTGGACTGTTTGGAAAGAGCAGCCCCCAGGGTGGGTAAATGGGTGGACAAAATTCCTGCGGGGGAGCAGCATCCCATGGTCCTGCCCTGGCTCTCTGATGGGCTGGAGGCTGTTGGCAGCACGTTCCAAAGGGGATTTGGTGGGCTCCCTGTGGGATCCATGATCCAGGAGCTGTGGAATCTCCTGCAGGTGGACGAGCAGCTGTTCCAGCTGCAGCACGAGCGAGCCGACCTGCTGAAGCGCATCGATGAGGACCAGGAGGACCTGAACGAGCTCATGGAAAAGCACAAGGCTCTGATCGCCCAGGTAGGGCTGGGGGAGCCTCTGCAGCCCTGGGAGGGCTCTCAGAAAGCCCTGCAGGATGGCACAGAGCAGGTGGTGGCACCTGGGGGTGCACAGAGGGATGAGGAGCCCAGTACAGAGATGCTGTGATGAGGAAGGGAAAGCTCACAGCGCCAAATCCTCTCACCTGCAGTTTTTAATCTTTGTTCAAGAGGTGTTTTGCTTTTAGTTTCAACACCTGGAGAATCCTAGAGCTGTCCCTCTGTGTTGTTTTTATTCCTCTTTTCACCATTTTCTCCTCCAGAGGTTAAAAAGCGCTGCCAGACAGCCTTGGTGATTTTGGTGCCATATCCAAACTATGCCAGGCTCTCTCAGAGGATTGTCCTGGGAGCTGAGGGACCTCAAAACTCCCATGGGAGGGGGCAGACTGGCAATTCACAGTCTGGTGCCCCTTGCAGAGGTGGTAGGGATCCAGGAGCCTGTGTGTGGAGCCATGACAATCCTGATCCAAAAAGAATTGTTTCAAAATTTCGGGAAGCTGCAGTGAGTTGGGAGAATGAAGCTCCATCAGGGCAGTCCAGGAGCAGCTCACTGGAAGTTCAGGCAGGAAGCAGCTCTCTGCTCTGAGCCGTGCTGCTCCCACTCCACATTTTCTGTTCCTGCAGTCGGCCACGGACATCGCTCAGATCCGGGAGCTGCAGACGCAGGTGGAGGATGTGAAGAAAGAAAAGCAAAGCCTGCAGGAGAAGGTAATTCCTGCAGGAGAAGGTAATTCCTGCCCAGCCTGTGGCACTCCTGCTGAGAAATGGGACCTCTTTAGGCTGGAGAAATCGTTTCCTTACAGAATTTTTGGGATTCACAGCCTGGTTTCTCCCTCCTCCCCTGCTGAACTGGGATGGGCTGAGCCCAGGGCTGCCCCAGGGTGGGCACCAACAAGGGCTGCGCCCCCTCGCCTCTGAGGCTGTGCCAGCCCTCCTGGAGTGAGGGATTTAATTTTAAACACATGAGTAATCCCATTAAGTGAAGTGCTTTACTGGAGCGTGGCTAAGCTGCCCAGGAATCAGAAGCAGGAGGAGAGGGTGGTGCTTTGGAGATAGGCTGGATAAAAGGAGACAAATTCCTGTAGTTTTAGGTCAAATTCAAAACCTGAACCCGGGATCACTGAAAGGGCAGTTTCCTTTGGAGATCTCAGTGTAAGAACCGAGGAAACAGCCTGGCCCAGGCAGCTTTCCACAAAGACTGTGAATTTTTACACCTGTTATCCTCAAAGAGTGTGTGAGGAGAGAAGAGCAAAGGAGCCCCAGACACGTGTCCTGGCCAGCAGGTTCTCCATTCAGAGCCACACATTGCTGTCAGGCCTGTTCTGTGTGGCTCCAGCAGCAGGGAATTCTTTGGGAAAGGAGGGCAGTGCTTGCCACAACAACTCAGGGGCCAGCAGAGACCCCCAGGGCATGCGAGGAACTGGGGAGGGGTCCAGGAGAGGGGATCAGGAAAGGGGTTCAGCAGAGGGATCTGTGATGATGTTCACAGGGGTCCAAGGATGAGGGAAGAGATGAGGATCTGACTCCATGTTTCAGGCTTGATTTATTATTTTATGATATATATCATATTAAAACTATACTAAAAGAATAGAAGAAAGGATTTCCTTTTCAGAAGGCTGGCTAAGAATAGAATAGCCAAGAATGGTAACAAAGGTTTGTGGCTCGGACTCTCTGTCTGAGTCATCTGGGCTGTGATTGGCCATTAATTAGAAACAACCACATGAGACCAATCACAGATCCACCTGTTGCATTCTACAGCAGCAGATAATCATTGTTTGCATTTTGTTCCTGAGGCCTTTCATCTTCTCAGGAGGAAAAATCCTAAGGAAAGGATTTTTCATGAAAAGATGTCTGCGACAGGGGTCCAGGAGAAGGGTTCAGGAAAGGGGTTCAGCAGAGGGGTTCAGCAGAGGGGCTGGGGGATGCTGATGCTGACACAGCCCTGCTCTCCCAGCTGCAGGCAGCTCAGGCCAGGGCAGCCCAGCTGGAGCAGTACCCGGCTGAGCGCTCCATCGTCAGCCGGCAGGAAGCTCGGATCCGGGACCTGGAGAGCCAGCTGGACTTCCAGGCCGTGCAGATGAAGCGCTTCGAGGTACCCCTTGCTCCCCTGGCAGTGCCACCGCTCCACCTGGGGGGACAGCAGCACCTGGGAAGGGCTGGGAGGGACAGGGGCAGCACAGGGGGCTGGTGGCACTGCTGCTCTCTCTGTGACAGCCAGCAGTGCCTTGGTGCTCGCAGGGACATTCCCAACTCCTCACCTTCCCCAGGTGCTGGTGCTGCGCCTGCGGGACAGCATCATCCAGATGGGAGAGGAGCTGGAGAAGGCGGCCGAGTCGGAGGCGCGGGAGAGGGAGAGCAGCAGGTACTACCAGAGGAGGATGCAGGAGATGAAGGCTGACATGGACGAGCTGGTGCAGAGGGAGCTGGAGTCCAGCCGCCGGCGCGTGGAGCTGGTGAGGTTTGGGGTGCTCCTGCCAGGCTTTGGGGGGTCCCATGGGCACAGGGGTTTGGAGGTGACCCCTCATAGCCCCTAGGTTGGTTTGAGGGCTTCAGAAACTCTTTTTTGTGGGCTCCTTTGTGCGCTGTGGCTCTGGGGATGGAGTTGTTCCTCTGCGAGGGACAGGGAATTGCTTTGCAGCTCTCCACAGCACCAAACCATTGAACCAAAGCTGTCTTTGAGGGCCCTCATGTTCCTTTTCCCCATGGCTGGTCTGGGAGCCTGGAGAGTCACTCTGCTCCATGTTTTTTTGTGGGAATGATGTGGCTTTGCCTGCTCTCATAGAAATGCAGTTCCCGTGTGGATGTGGCACTTGGGGATGTGGTTTAGTGGTGGAGCAACAGTTGGACTGGATGATCTTGGAGGTATTTCCATCCTAGGTGAATCTGTGATTCCAAGTTAGGTCATTCCTGCAGCTCCTCATGCTGGTTCTCCTCATGTCAGGCAGAACCACAGTGGGTGGGAAACTCCCTGGCCCTGAGTGCTGAGGTGTGCCAGGCTGGCTGTGCCAGGCTCAGCCCAAGCACCAGCTCCTCCTGGAGCTCCTGGCTTTGCCAAACCCGCCCTGTGTCTGCACAGACAGTGCCAACCAGCAGCAAAATCCACTCTGAATAAGCAGAGCCCCAGCTGGCTTTGGAGAGCAGCAGAAATAGATTCACCTTCACTTCCCAGCCCTTTCCAGAGTCTCTTTTCATGTTGCTTCTTCCAGTAATCCAAGGGAAAGCCTCGCTCCCGAGTGGTAATTGAAAGATATTGCACTTCTGCTGGCAGCAGGGCTGAATTAGGAGCAGTTATTTTATCAATAATCTTTTAGTTAGCAATCAAGGAGATTTCAGGATTTATTCTGCCCCGAGGCTGCCAAGCCTTGCCGAGGGGGGAGTGGTGTGAACGATTCCCAATCCTCTGCCAGCACCAGGGTCAGGCTTTGCCCTTGCTCTGCCAGGCTCAGCCCTGCCTTCTCCAGACTCCCCTGGGCATGGAATGGGGTCAAATCTCAGCCTCTGATGCTCTGCAGAGCTGTGAGAAGGGCTGGGAAGGATGGAGGAGGGCTGGGAAGGATGGAGAAGGGGCTGGGAAGGATGGAGAACAGTTAGGAAGGATGGAGAAGAGAGAGGCTGTGCTGAGGTGCCATGGGCATCCTGGGCTCCCTGATCCCTGTGGGATTGGGGAGCCCTGGCTGTGGGTGCTGTGATATTGGGTGTTTGTTGCAGCTCTGCTGGAAGGGCAGTGTTTGGAACATGGATTCTGTTGGGATGGGGGTGTGTTCTTGCTGTATTTTTGGGGGTTGTTGCCTGTATTTTTAGCAGCTTTCTGAATGTTTCATATGGGGATGTGAGCAATGGGAGATTCTTGTGTTCTCCCAGATAAAGTGTGCAAAGAGGTCTGAAAGGGATTTTAGAGGCACCTCCCTCAAATCAGACGCAAACAGCTGAACTTGTAAGGCAGGACTGAGGTCTCTGTGTTTATCCAGATATTTGGGGTTATCTGGCAGGAGAAAGGAGCAGGGGGGCTCCCCCAGACACAGCTCCCCATCCCAGCTTTCCCATGGGGATTGCTCAATAGGAACTGGCTCCAGGCCCTGCTGTGACATTCCTGGGAGCAGAGGCATCCCCAGACTGTGTCCTCTGAAGAGCACTTGAATTAAACATGAACCAGAGCTGTGATCAGGGAGCCCAGCCCAGCCTGGTGGGGAGCATCAATAGTTAATAGAAAGCCACTTATGGCTCTGCTCCTGCTAAATCCCCCATCAATTATAAATCCAGCCTGAATTATTCACTTGACATTACTTAAGTCGTGCTCTGCTCCTAACAATTTTTGAAAAAGTTATTTAAATACACGATGGTGAGGTTGTGGACTTTACCACACACTGTTCAGGTTTAAAGGAGGGTGTTGAAAGGACAAATTCCTGGCAGAGATTGGGTTAAAAATCATGTCTTGTTTCATTGCTGCTGCCTGTATATGTAGATATATATATAGAATATATATACAATATACAGAATAGGAGGTATTTTGTCCTCACTGTTCATATTTATCAGTGGAAAATCCTGTGCCACCATCCCCAGCCAGGCTCAGGGTGTCTCCATTCCATCCCTCCTTCTTTTCCCACCCAGTTCACGGCACTTGGGAGGCAGCCTTGTGCGATTCAGCAGGGAATACCCAGTGAGGAGCAGGGATGAGAGCTGGCTGCCAGGCAGATGGCTCTGCCTCATGAATTTTGCAAGAAGGATGGGTTTTGAACACTTTCCAGGCATGTTTGGTAATGATGGGGGTAGGACTTGGCCCTGCTGGACTCTCTTTGCTCTGGCTGCGCATCCTGGGCTTTTCCTCCCTGGAGCTGGAGCTCCTTTCCCAATAAAACCTGGATCCCAGCCTGCAGCAGCTCCTCAATTCTCAGCTGCTGGGTTGGCACCCAGAGCTTGACAGGCCTAGGATGGAAGGGATGGAACAGGGGTTAGGAAGGGTGGAGAAGGGGCTGGGAAGGATGGAGAAGGGCTGGGGAGGATGGAACAGGGATTGGGAAGGATGGAGAAGGGCTGGAAAGAGTGGAACAGAGTCTGAGAAGGATGGAGCAGGAGCTGGGAAAGGTGGAGAAGGGCTGGGAGGGATGGAACAGGGATTGGGAGTGATGGAACAGGGGCTGGGAAGGATGGAGAAGGGCTGGGAAGGGTGGAACAGGAGCTGGGAAGTGTGGAACAGGAGCTGGGAAGGATGGAACAGGAGCTGGGAAGGGTGGAGAAGGGCTGGGAAGGATGGAGAAGGGCTGGGAAGGATGGAACAGGGTCTGGGAAGGGTGGAGAAGCACTGTGAAGGATGGAGCAGGGATTGGGAGGGATGGAGAAGGGCTGGGAGCAGCAGGAATGGGGAACAATGAGTGGCTGTCCCAGTGTCTGGGTTTCCCTCCCGAGGCTGCTCCTAGGGGAGGATGGTGCTGCCTGTGCTGCTCTGACTGAGCTGCCTGCAGAGTTTGGATTTTATGGCACAATTCAAACATCTGGATGAGGGCTCTGGGGTGAAAACTCAGCAATGAGGTCCAACCATGGGCAGGAGCTGCTCAGGTCTCTTCTTTGGAGAGCCAGGAGACTTCTTGGTGGAATTCCTCTGGAAAAGCAGGGTCTGAGCCAGCTGGGATGGAGCCCTGGCTGGTTGAGGCACAATCCAGGGATTTCTGGGTGTCCTCCTGTCCCTCTGTGCCCAGCACAGCTCCACTAAACCCTCCCCCGAGCACACCAGGGGGGCTGGTGGGTGCTAACCTAAAATCAGCTTTCTTTAATGAAGCTGTGAAACTCATCAGCGCAATAATTAACTCATTTTACAGAAAACTGAAGCACAGGTGTGAAGATATTCTTCACAAGTTTGTTTTTTTTTGTGAGAGGCTCAGTGTAAATAGTGCAAATAAACTTTTTTTTTTTTCCTGGTTCTTTTGCTGGCAGATCTTTGTGCCTTGGCCCTGCTAAGACCAAGTTGTGTAACACAATAGGATTAGGGGGTTTTGCTCATTTGCAAACTATGAAGGGTTTTGGGGTTTTTTGCTGGCTTTTTTTTTTGGGGGTGTGGTTTTTTAAAATGTGTTTTGGGGGTTTTGTGCGTGTGTTTTTGGGATTTTTGGTTTTTTTTTTTTTATGTTTTTCTAGGGTTTTTGTGTGGTTTTTTGGGGGGGTTTTAAATGCTTTTTTGGTGTTTTTTCTGCTTTTTTCGTGGGTTTTTTGTTTGGTTTTTTTTTGGGAGGCTTTTTAGTTTCATTTTTTTTGTTTGTTTTTTTATTTTTGGGGGGGCTTTTTGTATTGTTTTGGGGTGGTTTTGGCTTTTTTGGGTTGGTTTTTTTTTGTTTTGGTTTGAGTTTTTGGTTTTTTGGTGGGTTTTTTGTTTTCTTTTTGGGGTTTTTTGTGTGTGGTTTTTTTTGGTTTTTTTTGTTTCTTATGTTTATTGGTTTTTTGTGTGTGGTTTTTTTTTGGTTTTTCATGACTTTTTGGTGGGGTTTTTGTGTGGTTTTTTTTTTGCTTTTGTGAGTTTTTTTAATTTTTGGGAAGGGCTTTTTGTTTTGTGGGTTTTTTTGCCTTTTTGGTTTGTTTTTGTTTTGGTTCGGGTTTTGGGGTTTTTTTTGTGGTTTTTTTTGTTTGTTTGTTTTTTGGGTTTTTTGGGGCTTTTTGTGTCTGTTTTTTTTTGGTTTTTTTGTGTTTGTTTTTTTGGGGTTTTTTGGTTGCTTTTTTGTGGGTGTGTTGTTGGTGTAGGGGGTTTTTTTTTGTTTGTTTTTGGTTTGTTTTCTGGTTGTTTTTTTTTTTTTACGCCTTTGAGGAGCTCTAATGACAATTACCATCAAAGGCAGCCGGTCCTTAGAGGTGATGGAGGAGCCAGGAGTGAAACCTCGGTGCCTATTTGCAAATTAGGGCTGCTGTGGTTCTGCTTTGCCTTTAAAAAGAGTCAATTCCTCAGGAATCCATCAGCTGCTCACGCACCAATTACACGGTGCTCACACTGCAGCCTTCAACCCAGCGAATTTTTGTCACTTCAAACTTTCCCAAAAACCCCGCGAGTTAACGGCTTAATTAAAAATAATCATGATGGATGAGTTCTGCAGGTGCGGGCTCAGTTATTAGAAGAAAAAGGGATTTGAGTTGGATTAATTAGATTACACTTGACTCAGGGTGGGTGGGAGCGAGCAGAGGTGGTGTTGTCACAGCAGAAGCACAAACAAAAATACAAAAATACAAAAATAAACATGAGGTGGTGACAAGGATGTGGTGCTGGCCTGGGAATCCTTTGGAGTCCCGGGGATCATTGCACTGCTGGTTTTGTTAATCTCCTTTTAACCTCTCCTCAGATAATTCTGAGACAAAATTAGGGGAAAAAAAGCCTCTTAAGGAAAAGAAGGTTTAGAAATCCCCTTCCATGAGGGATATGCAGAATATTTTCAGGAGTGAGAGCAGCTCCCTGTGGGTTTGATGAGTGCCAGGCATCGCTGAGTGAGCTCCTGTCCCCTTGTTCCTGGGGAAACCTTTAATCCAGGCTCCCTGTCAGCAGGGATCAACCTCAGCCTTCTCAAACCATGATTTTTGACCCACCAGCAGAGCCAGGCCTTTGCTCTGGGGCAATGGGAGAATCTGGTTTGGAAATGTATTCAGAACCAGGCAGAACGTATATTTTATTTATTGATGATGAAATATACATCAGCCAGGGGTTCCGAGCTGGTCAGGCTGGTCCTGCTGTGCATGTCTGACTGGTTTGGTGGGAGCAGCCAGAGATGCTGGTGCCAAAAGGGGTTTAACAGCAGATGATGCTCCTTTTAGCCCCTCGGGTCCCTCATGGTGCAGATCACCCAATAATGTGAGTTTTCCCCTTTATTTCTCCCCATTTTCTGCTCAGAGGAAACAAAAAGCCAGCTCTGCCCAGTGTGAGGGTGTCAGTTCTCAGCCCAGGGACTGTGAAAAGAGAAAAGCTCCTTGGATTTACATTTAGATGGAAACAACGTTGTCAAAGGTGTCCTGCATCTCCCTGGGTGCCAGGGGCCTGGTGCTGGGCCTTGTCAATTTGTGCTCTGCAGGCAGCGTTTTTCCATCTGAAATTGAATCATTGTGGCAAAATTATTCCTTTCCTTGAGACAATTGTAGGGTTTGGAGAAAAACATGAGATGTCTCTGCGGATGAGATTTGGGACAGCTGGGATGGGAGGTTGAGCAGTGTCAGATTGATTTTGTGGCTCACATTTAAATCACCCCTCGGGTGGATGATAGATCCCAAATCCCCCTCCCGAGGCCACCAGTGTGTGTGCCACAAACTGTGGGTGCCAGGGTTGTCCTGGGGGTGCCAGGGTTGTCCTGGGGGTTCCAGGGGTGTCCTGGGGGTTCCAGGGGTGTCCTGGGGATGGCAGGGGGAGCCCCATCTCAGCAGCATCACCTGGGATGGTCCCTTCCTCCCTCTCATCATTCTCAGGATCATGCAGAAGGTAGCAAGCTCAGGGGGGACCCCACCAGCCAGGGAGACCCCTCCAGCACCCAGGGCATTCTGTTTGCTGCTCCCACAGCCATCTCAGGGAATTTCTGTGTTTGTGGCCAGAAAAGTGGTTTTGGAGTGCTGGTAGGGGGATATTGTTCTGTGCCTCCCTGCCCATCGCTGTTAACAGCAGCAGGACAGAGGAGTGGAATTAAATGCAGCCACTGAACTGTATTTGATTTGTGCCATAGCCTGCAGGTGAGTCAATAGAGGCTCTTATCAGCCTGTGGAAGGGCTCAGCTTTTATCAGGCAGCAGTTCCACTCCCTGCTCCTGCAGTCCCAAATACTGAACCCAGGCACGTGGGCGCCCAGAGCTTGGGGCTCTTTGCTCCTCTCAAGGTTGGTGCTTCACTGTGAGCCCTGTTCTGAGCCCCTGCAGCCCTTGATGAAACACTTCCCTTGATGAAACAGCTCCTTTCCACCTTCTCCCTGAGCCAGGAGGGAAGTTGGAAACACCAAGTTTCAGAAAACTTCTCATCAGCAGTGAGGTTTTCGCCAGCGCGTTCCCAGGAGCTGCTGTGACACCCAAACTGGGCTGTTCCTTTCCATGTTTTGATGAACTGAGATGCTCTTGCCCCAGGCCCTGTGTGCCTGGTGATTCCAGGCCTTCCATTATTTACTGTGACAGAGTGCCAGCTCCTGTGCCCTGGCCTGTCTCAAGTCATCCCTCACCTTGTCACCGCCGCCATGGCGATTTCACAGCTGGCAGCTTCCATCACTGTGGATCTGCTGCTCCCTCCTCTCTGCTCTTTGATGGCCTAGGAACAGCAGGAGGGGTTCCTTCCCAGCTGGAAGGACGTGGAATGTGATGAGGATGGGTGCAGGGCCAGGCTGGTGCCCTTGGTGTGCAAGGTGGGAGATGTTGGGTTCATGGAGCTGTGTGGGTCGTGTCAGATTGTGAATCCTGGAATGGTTTGGGTTGCAGGGACCTCAAAACTCATCCAGTCCCACCCCTGCCATAGGCAGGGACTCCTTCCACTATCTCAGGTTGGTCCAAGCCTTGTCCTAAGCTGGTCTGGGACACTTCCAGGGATGGGACAGTCAGAGCTTCTCTGCGCACTCTGTGCCAGAGCCTCACCAGCCTCACAGGGAAGAATTTCTTCCCAATATCCCATCTAACCCTGCCTCTGACAGTGGGTAGCATTTCCTCTGTCTTGTCACTCCATACCCTTATCCAAAATTCCTCCCCAGCTCTCCTGGAGCCCCTTTAAGCACTGGAAGCAAAACTATTTACCAAAGAAGTGGATTAAAACTATTTATCAAAGAACCTATTCGACCATCAACACCCTCCCCAATCTTATTTATCGCAACCCCAATACTAGCCTTACTTCTAGCAATCTCAATCTGCCCTTATCCATGCCCTTATCCAAAATTCCTCTCCAGCTCTCCTGGAGCCCCTTTGAGCACTGGAAGGTGCTGGAAGATGCAGTTTATGTTCACAAGCACCACAGGGCACGGTGCAGCTAACCAGCCCCCACGGGCAGCACTGGGGTGGATGTGAGATGGTTCAGCAGTCTCCAGTGTTGGTGCAGACCCTCTCCTGGTGTCCCCTGTGCAGGAGCAGCAGCTGGCAGAGCTGGCAGAGGTGCGGCAGGGGCTGCAGGCTGACCTGGGCACCTCCATCCGCCGCATCGCAGACCTGCAGGTGGCCCTGGAGGGGCTGCGGGACAGCGATGACAGCGATGCTGACAGGTGAGAGCAGGGCTGGGGGTGTCAGAACTCAGTGCATCCCTCCGGGTGTCCAGAGCCGGGGGGCTCAGAGACCCTGGCACACAGCCCAAAACACCTGGGGATTTGATTTTGACCCTTGGAGGAAGTCACCAACTTTGTAGGAGGACGTGAAAGCCACACAGGTTTGAACAGTGTAATAACAAACTGATCACAGGGTGAAAATGTAGATTTTAAGATTTTTGGTATGGGGGTTATGGGGACAAGATGGAGGAACTTGGGCGTGTCCGGCCTTTCTTTCTTCTTCTTGTTCTCCATTTTCTGCAGTGATGTTGGCACTTTGGGATTGGTTTAGAGTAGAAGTGCACTGTTTTCTTGGTCCAGCGGTCACAACCTGCAGCCAAACATCTCGGTTTGGTCAGCTTGCCTCCCCCACACACCTGCCCAGGGATGGGGGTCTCAGTCCCAGTCCTTGGAAGGAGGAGAGGGGCTTTTCACATGGGGGTTCCATGTCTCAGTCCCTGATGGAGCAGAGGGGCCTTTTCACATGGGGGTTCCATGTCTCAGTCCTTGATGGGGAGGCTCCTTACATCTCAGTCTGTCTGTCATGGTGGTTCTAAAACAGGTGAGGGTCTTCTGTGGGAGACCACCCGAAACTCAGGAGAAGTCCAGCCAGGCCGAGAGGTGGGACAGCTTCCAAGGCTGTTGTTGCGAACAGGGCATGGTGCCCTCTTCTTAGCATACAGCAAACACACCTGTGAAAACAAATAACACTGAGCTTTCAGCTCTCAGGGCCTTTGGCATGTAACTTTCTCCTTCAGAGATTCTAGACGGGGGGGGGTCTTCTCTCCAGTGGTCCCCCAATGACAATTGTGAGGCAGATGAGGGAAAATTCTCACAGACTCTCACAACCCATCCATTAAAACATCTCTCCTGTCCCCCCAGGGATGCCTGCTCCACTGTTGGCTCCGTGCTCAGCCTGGAGCCTGCAGAGAGCGTCAAGTCCTGGCCGAGCTCCTCCTCAGGCTGGACGTCCCTGCTGAGTGCCAGCATGGCCGGGAGCGCTT